TTTCAGTTTTTCTAACTTAATTTCCTTGATATTCACGATTTTAGGGATGAACTCAGTCTCATTTTATTTGGGCCAGAAGAAATTGTCCCGTATATTGTCCTCAAAACTAGTTTGTAGGGCGAATAATTCAAAGAAAATATAAAGGCTAAAGGACACATTTATACTTCTTTCAAAAACAGTTACCACAAAGACGAGAATCTTTAAACAATTCCATTTTGGACGCAATCCCTTTTCTAATTACTTTTCTAATTCAAATCGACGCTCTGTTGCTTCTCAAATTTCTTTTTCTTTCTCTTCAGTCAACTTTTCTTAGTTTATTTTTAATTTATATTAGGTTTATTACATTATCCTTACAGTTTATCTTAAGTTTATTACCAGTTTATCTTAAATTTATCTTAAGTTTATTACTAGTTTATCTTAAGTTTATTACCAGTTTATCTTAAATTTATCTTAAGTTTATTACTAGTTTATCTTAAGTTTATTACTAGTTTTTAACTAAATTAAGAACGAGCAAATATACAATAAATTCATATTCAAAATAAAACGTAAGATAAACTACAAATAATTAAAAAAAAAATCATTAACCATACAGTTTATCTTAAGTTCATTACCAATTTTTAACTAAATTAAACAAGCAAATATACAATAAATTCATATACAAAATAAAAAATAACATAAACTACAAATAATAAGAAGAAAAAAATCATTAACCATACGGTTTATCTTAAGTTTTTTTTTACCATTTTTAACTAAATTAAGAACAAGCAAATACACAATAAACTCATATACAAAAATAAAACTGAACATAAACTACAAATAATAATAATAATAATAATAATAATAATAATAATAATAATAATAATAATAATAATAATAATAAACTACAAATAATAATAATAATAAAAACAATAACCATAATACATCAATAAACATCATATTTACTATTTACTAAAAACAAACCCAGCATAAATGAATATTCTTTCAACCGAGATTACATCAGATATGTGCACAACATATTAAAAATATAATGCCGGCGCAGAGATCCGAAAGGGTAGTATGCCCAACAATTATCCTGATCTCGACAAATCCTCGAACAACATCCCAACCTGCAAAGAATTTTGGTCATCTATTCGGTTTGTGTCTAGGATTTCGAGCGTTGAAATTTCGTCAACAATTTTTCGCAATGAACCAATTGGGGATCCGACGAGAATTTTCATTCAAGAGCGAAAAATCAAATCGTTGTTTCAAAAATCAAAGGAAAATTAAGCAAAAATTCAAATAAAATCCAACCAGATCTGAGATTCAAATGCCAATCAATGAGATCCCCAACAAAANGTAAAGCACACCTTTTCGATTACCACCTTCATCACCGGCGTGGATCTATTGTCTGATTACTGTCTAAGCGGCCGTGTGAAGCTTGCGGTCGGTTGAGAGAGGTCCGAACAGGAGCGGGTGGGGAGGCGGAGGCGGTGGCAAGTTGGGGAAAAGATAGTCATATTATCCCATCAACATGGATCTATGTCGTTCCCACACACATCCGGATTTGGAGAAATAAGAAGAAAAAAGAAAGAGAAAGGAAGAGGAGAGAGGAGGAGAAGTGAAAGAGAAAGGAGAAGGAGAAGTGATGGAAGGAAAATGCGAGAAGTGGAATTGAAATGTTAAAAATAATCGTAATTTTGACTTAATTGATCTTGATGTGCGAAAAAATTATTGATCTCGTTAAATGGGACATGTTTTTTAATGGGACCGTGCAAGGGGTAATTAACTCAAATATAAAAGTACTTTACCAATAAAAAATTAATGTGTAAATCTATACTTATATAAAAGGGGATCATATTAATTATATCCAGAAAAGTCAACTGCATTAAATGTCATTACTATTTCGGTACTAATATTTTATTTAACTGATTTATTTATCTCTCTATATATATATAAAATAAGAATTACCATTTTTAAAAAATGGCAGGGCAACTATATGGTCAAATTCTCTCATCATTAATTACTTTTCATTAATTATAATTTATTTATTTATTATTTTTTTTGCAAAAACGGACCAACATTAATTGATTTTCTTAAAATGTGGAAGTTGTTGCTTTATTTTTATACAGAAAATCGGGCTTCATTATAGAAATTTGTTCAATTACACAATAAATTTGCTATGATATAATTATTTTTTATGTGAACTTTTTTTATTAACAGCAAAATATGGCATTTCAATAAGATTTTCTATTTTTTAAGACTGATTGTTATCATGCTATGAAATTGAACATTTCAATATACCTTAACAAAATATATACGTGTTGTATACATCAGTTAATAGAAATATAGAATTCTCATATTTTTATATATATGTATGTAATTTTTCTATTACCAAATTTAATTGATAGTTGTTGTGTTATGGGTTTTTCATAATTGTTACTTGGTTGTTGTGATATTTAGTTTGGTTGGTGTTGCAAAAATTCTAATCTATATTATAATAAGAATAATCATTATAATGCAAATTAGAAAAATATTGATATTAGAAGAGATTGAGTTCATGGCTTTTCTTAAATCAAAGTTGTTTAATTATTATACAAAATTAAAAAAAAAATATATGTGTATATTTTGTACATTGTACACTATTTAATTTTAAATTTATTTACATATTTTAAATTGATTACTTATATAAATAATACCAACGTGCATTGAATATATTTCATTACATAAAATAAAAAGAACAAGAAGACGTGCAACTTCTATAACCTTATAAATAATAATGACATTATATGACAATAAAATTTATAGTAAAATAATAATTAACTATTATATAGTGAACAAAAATAAGTAAAATTATTATTTTCTCTTATATCAAGGAATAAATATACATAATAAAATTAAATCTATATTAGTATAAATGTGTTAGTGAGATAATATATTAATTATTTTACAAGTTATCCCTAACATGCTCACGTTTAATGTTCTGACTAATAAAACAACGCTGATTAAAAGATGTGAAAAATAGAATACAACCCTATTTTTTTAGACTTAACGGTGATTAAAAGAGGTGAAAAATGGATGATAATCCTTGTAAGACTTAAACGGGACTTAACGGTGACTAAAAGAGGTGAAAAATGGATGATAACTTTTCTCAGACTTAAACGGACACTGAAAATAATTAATTTAATATCTTTCTCCCGGGATACGTACTAGTTAAAAGGTAAAAAGGGTATTTTTCAATCCAATTCGCAGACCAACACTTTTTAAAAAAGACATGTAAAGCATATTTTCTTAGAAGCGCGAAGAAGTTAACACACCTTAATTTTTGGATAGGATATTTATATATGTCCAAAGGTAACAAATTATTTATTATAAATAGAACACTTACCTAACATATTTTTACTAAAATTCAAGGGTTCCAAATTAAGTAATTTATGAGTAAATACTCAAAATTATTCATCAATACTCCACTACTTCATGTATAAAAATAAGGTATAAGAAATTATTTATTAAAATCTACATCTATATATATATATATATATAAAGAGGAGCAACAAAATATTAAATTATATTATCATGCATTAAATTTTATTATCTCTCCAAAATTTTCAATATTCAATTTTATTTTTAAATTACAAAATAACTTGCTTGAATGCCATAAATTATGAGCATAAATCATCAAGGTAGTTACAAAATTGAACTCAAATTTTAAGTCACACCTACTCATGAAAATGGCTGGATGTATTAGCATAAAGAAAATGGTTGTAACGGCTATTCCATATCAATTGCTTGATCAAAATCAACTTTAAGAATTATTTTCTTAATTCATATTTTTTTTATGAATTAAATTATGATTTAATAAAAATGCAAGTGTTTAATAATATTTAAAATTATTTTGTTAATTTATATTTTTTTTTTAATTAAATTATAAATATATATTTCATTTATATTGTTATTTTTTTTAAATATTTTCTTACGTGCAAATGCACAGCTTGATTACTANCTTGTAATCATTAAGCAAAATCAAACACGTTGGGAGACAACAATTACCAGTACCACTTTTTTCCATAAAAACAGAAAATACCCAAAAAGTAAAAAGAAAAAAAGAAAAATAAGGGGGAAATCAAGCGTCCCCAACAACCTTTCCCTCCTCCCTCCCCTCGCCGCCATCACCCTCCGCCACAAACCTCCGCCAAAAAAAATGTTCCGCCCACACCTTCTCCATCTTCTCAATCGGAATCCCCTTCGTCTCCGGCAGCAAAAAGTACACGAACACCGCCATCACAAACACCCACGCCGCGAAGAAAAAGAAAATCCCCGATTTCAGGCGGCAGAGCATCGCCAGAAACGCCTGCGCTATCAAGAACGTCATCGTCAGATTCACCGCCACCACCACACTCTGCGCCGCCGACCTTATCTCCAGCGGGAAAATCTCGCTCGTCACAACCCACCCCAGCGGGCCCCACGAAAGCCCGAACCCGGACATAAAAACGCATATCAACACTAGCACCGCCGCCGCCCATCCCCTGTCCATCCCGCCGTGGTCCCCCAGCTTCGCCGCCATTATCCCCCCCACAAGCAGCATCGACGCCAGCATCTGCGTCCCTCCGAAGTGGAACAGCGGCCGCCGCCCGACCTTATCCACGAGCACCACGGTTATGATGGTGAACGTCGACGCCACCACTCCGGTCACCGTCGCCGCCAGCAGCGACGCGTTTTCCTTGGCGCCGATTGTTAGGAACAGAATCGGGGCGTAGAAGGCGATGATGTTAATCCCTGTAATCTGCTGGAAAAACGGGACGAGGATGGACATCACCAGCTGGGGACGGTAGCGCCGCCGCATCAGGTTGCGGAATGGGTGTTTTACGGCTTTCGAGGCGCGGCTGGCGGCGACGAGGTCGGCGAGTTCGTCGTGTACGTCGTCTGTGCCGCGGATCTTGCGGAGGACTGCACGGGCCCGGGCCGGGTTGTCTGGGTTGTTCTGGACGAGGCTGTTGGGGGTTTCCGGGAGGAAGAGGGCGCCGATGGCGAGGATGGCGGCGGGGACGCCGGCCATGGCGATGGATATCCGCCAGCCCCAGCCGCCGGCTATGCGGACGGTGCCGTAATTGATGAGTGTTGCGGAGTTGTAGCCGATGCTGACGCAGATTTGGAAGGCGACGTTGAAGGCGCCTCTGTATCGGGAAGGGGCCATCTCCGATAGGTATAGAGGGACCGACTGCAGATTCCAGACAACTGGCGAGTGTTATCCACAAAAAGATTTTTTTTTTTTCTTTTTTCTCTAATATATACTTCTAGGAAAACAGAGAGAAATTCTATCGGCATTGCCATCACCAAGTTTTTTTTTTACCGCCGGTGTGTGTGTTTTTGGATATGAATTTGCCTATTTGGTATTTAGGCCATCTCTAGCCCTTTATCTCTACTCTAGCACAGATTTTACTCTACTCTAGATTAGAGTTAAACAAAAGTTAGGTGTCTATCTCCAACCGTTCGTGCTACATTTTACTCCACAGAATTATTTAACATAATAAATACATTTACCAATACACATTATACAAAATTTTACCAATGATATTACATTAAATTACCCAAACATAAAATTAAAAAAAATGTGGCGTTTGCAAAATAAAATTATAATAGATCAATAAATAAAAAATATAAAATTATTTAACATAATAAATACATTTACCAATACACATTACACAAAAATTTATCAAAAAAAAAAAAAAAGAAATGTAGCGCGTGAACCGTGCTGCGTTAGAACTGGCGCAACACTGTTCAATTCTGTATTCGCAGATTTGTGGCGCCGCGCTGGATGGTAATTTTAACGCCACTTTGCCTTTTTTCTCTAGAGTAGAGATGCATGGGAGAAGCTCTTTATAATTGAATTCGATTTGTTAAACGAGTTAATCTATCTATATATAAAAAGGTTGTTGGTTAAATCATTTTTGGAAACTTTTGACCAAATAAATAATACCTTTGACTTCTATTTATAGAAAGCTTGAAAACAATAATAGTGTAGTTTTTTTTTTTTATTCACAATTTGAATTCAAAATTAATGGTGTAGAGATAATATTGGAACAATAATTTGTGGATAACTTATGATAGAATCTGTGGATAACTAACTACTAATCTAAAAAGATTTTGATAAATCTTCACCAAACACTTATTTGATTATGTATTAATATCGCAACCCTAGGAAAAAAAAAGTATAAGTGAGCCCATTTATTTTTTTATACTAAAATAAAGAGATATTACCAAATATAATTTTTGTTTAATTTGATGGATAAATATCAAATCATTCCAAATTTTAATAATGTACGCGAATATCATTTCAAATATTTAGATAATATCATTCTAACGCTCCAATCATCTAATATCGAGATATTTTTTTTTCACCTATTAAATTAACACTTAATTTGCCTATAAATAACATACACACTCTGAGTTGTTATTGTATCCCCACTCATCAAATAAATCAAGCAAAACATAAAGAACAAATAGATATTCTGTATTGATAAGAAATCATGAGACTCATCAAGCAAAACGCCATGAAAACTCTACGCAATCCAACTCTTTTAAAGGATAAATGTATCTTTTTCGAACAAAAAGATATTGAAAAATGATTTTTTTTTATGGGTATGAAAGTCGAATTTTAGGTTGATTTGTTATAAAATCAAGGTAATATGTTTCTCAAAATTTAGCATATTTCTATAATAACTTGCCAAAAAATTCTAATGATAATTTGACAAAATGGTATGTATTTCTCTTGAAAATTATAAACATCTTTGAACAAATATTGGTTAATAAAATTTAAAAATTAACCGACAACAACTCTAGAAAATTGTGAGATAATATGTATATAAGGGAATTTATATATAAGGGAATATATATATAAGGAAATTTATCGTATAGTTCAAATTTGGGTTTCAAATTTAAAAGTCAAATAAATAATTATTCATAACTTACGTGTCAATATTAACTTAGGCATAAATGAAATAGTCAATTAATTATAGTTTAATAAATTACTCAACAACTTAAATTTTTTTATTTTGATTGTTTATACAAAATTAAATTCATTTTAATTAATGAACACTATAAGTTTTATAATTGTACTTATTATTCACATAGATTTTTAAACATATGATAAAATTTTACCAAAAGAATTATTTTATGGAATCACATTGTAGTCCAATCGAATTTTTGAATAAATATTTTAAAATGACACTTATTTTGAAATAAATATAATGTAATTTATTATCAGTTACGTGCACCAGGTTGTATACTAATTAAATTGACATATTTTATGTAATTTTGCACGATATGAAATTTATATAATATTTTCAATAAATTAATATAGGTAAACGTATTACATATTGATTCAATATTTTTAATTTATAAATATTATCTAATAATCATTTTTAATTTATAAATACTAATGAATATCTCTTACCCGTGCATCGCACGGGATTCGTACTAGTTTGCATAAAGATGATTGAATGTAATTTTGAATTTGTAATTAAAATATTAAATAATATTATAAATGCAAAGAATAAAATTGATGTGATGTAAAAGTAAGATATATGTTATTAAAAGTGATAAATAGTTAAATTTATAAGAGTTGATGAATAATAAATTAAAGTTGATATGATTTACAAGAAAATGATGAAATTCTAACGGAAATATATTCCAATAGAATTCCAACGACAATTCCAATGGATATTTCAATGCTATTATTTCCGTTGGAATTATTCCAACGGAAATTCCAACAAAAATATTCCATTGGAATTTTCGTTAGATTTGACGATTCCAACGGTGGTGGAAATAAAAATACAAACAGAAATTCCAACAAAAATATTCAATTGGAATGAGTTTTCCATTGGAATTTTTGTTGGATTTTGACGATTACAACGGTAGATTTTCCAACAGTGGTGGAAATAAAAATACCAACGGAAATTGCATATTCCAACGGTCAAAATCCGTTGGAAATATAGCCGTTGGAATCATCAAATTCCATCTAAAATTCCAATAAAAAATACATTCCAACGGAATATTTTCGTTGGAATCATTCCAACGGATGCTATACCATTGGAATATCCGTTGTAATTTCCGTTGGAATAAATTACCATAGGATTTTTCGTTGGAATATAACAATTTTTTTGTAGTGTTTGAACCATTAATTTATATTATTTAATTATGTTAATAATATTGAAGAGATTTGAATTAAGTTAATTTTGAATTAAAAGATATAGAACAAAAAAAATTATATCTGTCCAAATTGATTAAAACTGATTTTATCTCATATCCAAACGCACTTAATTATTAGCATCTCGCATGCTACAATGAATCATACTTTTGGCACAAGATCTAGGGGTCCTTTAGGGGATTTATACTAATTGATGAAATTGTACATAGTTAAAAACAGTTTATTGTTTGTCTTGGCATTGCATTTTTGACTAGGAAAAAAAGTTGGCCACGAGCATATATTAAAAATTTCATAGGTAAAAAACATGTGTACCACTTGCACATGCACTAAGAACCACAAAAAAAAAAAAAAGTACCAACGCCAAATTAACATCCATGAATTAACTTTACAAATTTTACCTGATTGGTAAAGCCAAGGCCAACACCAAGCAAAACACGGCCAATTATCAACATGTAAATGTTGGCCGACAAGCCTCCGAGAGCTGCTCCAGTCATGTAGGACAGCCCTCCGACGATAATCGACGGCCTCCGGCCATAATCCCGAGTCACGACAGCCGCAAAGAAGGACGATATGAGGCCGGCTATGTAGAGTGAGGACGTGAAAGAAGTCAGTAACTGACTGTCGAATTTGCAGTAGTTACTTATCTTTGTATCGCTTTTCATCTTCTTGTATACGCTGGAGAAGAACTTCTTCAAAAAAGGGTCCATCGAGGATACCCCACCTATTTATCATTTTAGTACACAAATTTATTGAGTGTTTTTTTTTTAGTGAATGTCTTCGAAAAAACTTGGTTACGCACAAAAAACACCAACATCTAATTTGGAAAACATATTTTTATCATAAACATCAAGTTTTGAAATAAGAGTNTAAGCCGGGAAAAGGAAAATAAAAAAGAACCTGAAACTCCAACATCGTAGCCGAAAATGATTCCGCCGGAGGATGCAACCATGCAAGAAAGCAGAACGAACCACGTGATTTTTCCGGCGTATTGCTTACCGTCGCTTTGTATCATTACCCCACCGGCCATGGCCTTGTTGTGAAGTGTAACTAAGAAAACTAATTAGTAAGCTATATAACTATAGAGAAAATGTTAATTGTGGAAAAAGGACTTAACTATGTAGTCAGTTATGTTTCCTCTCTGTTTTTAATTAATTCCTGAGTAATAATTGGAATTAAGTGAGTAACGTTATTTAGAGGAATGCAGCCAAATGGCCCCGAGTTTGCTTTTAGGCACAACCACCCACGATATATGGGTCCATAACACATTGTACATATTGATTTGGACAGGCAAATAGAGCCTTGTTATATTTTACTCCTCATCTATTATTTACTCTCAAGATTTTTTCCTTTATTTTCATTTTTAGAATTTTTGATCGGTGCAGTGCAGGTCCCTAATAATTGAACTGAATGTTTTGCAATCCGAACTGCCGGACGGGTCGACCCGGGATCCAATCAACCCAAATTAGCTGGATCGGTTTGGACAGTAAATCATTGAACTGAATGTAATAAGTTTAATACTAATAAAGAAAGACCTCGGTGAATAAAAAAATAGCGGGACAAATGTTGCCAGATAAGTAAATTAATGCAAAATGAAGGACGACAGTAAATTAAATAAAGACCTCGGTGAATACTAATAAATAATTAGCATGATATGGACCATATGGTATATCATACCGGTTGTGAAGACAACTCGGTTGATTGGACATAGCCCGTAGCTCGGTTAGAAATGAAAATTCAGGCTTTTTGTTGCTAAAATTACAAGATTGGAACAATTTGAGATTTAATTTGCAATTCCACCAACACATAAATGTAAAGAAAGTAATAAAGTTAAATTTAATGGGGCATTCCAAAAGATGGGTCAAACGGCAAAGAAAGGAATTGAAAGAGCGGTGGCCACGCACGCAACGTCCGGCGGTCGGTGGAGACTGCATGACACGACACCGTTTCACATTTAAGAGAAATCGAACTTAAATACGGCATTTAGCTTGTGCTTAAAC